GTTATGTGAATTGATAGCAAAGATGAGAACAATAGTAAATGTAAATGATGTAAGTAATATATTTTGATCCATTAATTATATTAGTTTTAGTGTAAAGCAGTTAAGATAGGGAAATCATAATGGAACAGACTAAAGAAACTGATTTGCACTACAAAATTCATTCTCCTTGAACTTCAAAAGGAAGAAATTTTGGAGGAACAAACTTAGGAGTGAATCTCTCAGCTTAAACTAGCTATATTGCTAATCAGCCATTATAGCCCAAATATATCCAAACTACCTATCAAGGGTACCAAATGTACATTTTAAGAAGACTTAGTGGGACAGAAAGAAAACATCACAGTGGAGAGGAAAAACTGGTTTCATGTAACCAGCAGTAAAGCCTAAATTTATGAATATTTTTAAAAATATTGGTAATAAGGCAAGAGAATTACAAAAATGGAATGATAATGTGTTAGTGCCTTTTTCTTAATGGTCTAACATCAATGGAAGGCCAAATTAAGGCTGACAGATAAAAGTTAAGGGAACCATATTTATTTCGGCAGTTACACAGACAGGAGCATAATAGATACAATTAGGGTTAAGCCTGTAATGCATTATTGTTCAACCCAGTATTATTTTTTTAAATAAATACTGCCTATCAAACAAGGCAGATATTTTTCTATAGATTGGTTTGTCTTGTTATTATAGAGCAGTGATTTTGAACTAGTGTGCCATGAGGAGATCGAAGGTGTACAGCGGAAATTTTTACAGGTCATTAGTTAAATTATTTTCAAAATGAATCCAAACCACTGTTAAGTGTACATATCAAAATTAAAACCCCTTCAAATTTAGTATACAATTATATCATTGTTATAATAAACAAACCTATATATATATATATATATATATATATATATATATATATATATATATAAGTGGGTGATAGTGTGCAAAATTGTTAAATAATAGTTTGGCAGACTTATTTTTAGGGGGAATTGTGTCTCAGTTGTGACTTCTGGAGGTTGACCTTTGAGGCCAGATGCAAGCCAAAATAAGGTAGTTGATTTTCATTATCTGAACTAGTGTGAGAATGAGATTGAAAAAGGTCTTTCAGGGAGTCAGGTCTTGGCCGTCAAACAATGTAGAAGTGTTTTCTTTAGTGTCTGAAACAGCTCCCCAGTAAGGGGGAACAACCCCAACTGGATAGATAGAACATGAACGTTAATAAAACTAGATAAGTTAAAATTAGCCTTGTTGAAGTTCTCATATTTTTGGACTCAAAACAACTAGCAATTGCCGGCCAAAAGAAGAAGCAATGGGGCCACCCCTTCCACAGGGCTATGCAGCAAAATGAAGTCACTTGAAATGCCCATACATGGCGTGATTTGACATGATTTGCTGATGGACACCAGTTTTTAATACATGCAAAAAATAAATTTTTTTTTTTTTTTAAAGAATTTTAATGTTTGTGTTAATAAATAAGTATACTCTATTTTTAATCACAATTTAAGTGTGCTGCAGAAGTTTTATAAGTTCAAATGCACTATGAGATTAAAACAAAAATAAAAAAATAAAAAAAAAATAAAAAATCATTTTTTAACACACAAGCCAGACTCCCTCTTTATTCTTGGGTTTCTCATGTTGCCCCCCCTCCCAACAAGATGTTACTTGCTGAGATTCTATGCTGTTGATACCAAAAGCAACATTTGATTCAACATGGCAATATTTTGTTTTTATAATCACTTCACCCAAGGCAAGGCAATAAAGCCACTGACATATAAGGAGTTACAGAGTGTGAAAGAATATCAGAATAAGGAAAACATTATCAAAGAGAAAGAACAATAAAAAGATAGAAATTAAAAAGACAAGAACAGGAAAGCAAGAGTTCCACAGGTGAGAAGTGTGAGAAAAGAAAAAACTTAGCATAAAACTTAGTTACTTCTAGCTGCCATTTCAACTGTAAAATGAGATCTAGTAATTCACTTACATTCGTTAAGTTGAGATATCAAAAAGGAAAGCAATATTTAAAAAAATACAAAAATGTGGCACAAGGCCAAAAGGTGGATAAGGGAAGGCTGGTCTTTAATCTGTCTTAAAGCAGCCATAATTACTGACCCAAATTACTGACCACACTATTCCAAAGAGGAAAGCTCATGAGAACAATTACCATGAAAATATTTATAGAAAAGGCATATGGAAGCTATGTTATGGCAGTGAGAAGGTGACTGAAGTTGAGATGCCAAATCAAGACAAATAACATTGCAAATTTGTTAAATTTTATCAAGAATCTCTAAATATCTAACAGAAACAACGGACCAGATGTGGCAGCAATAATCAACACTCTTAAACTCACCAGAAAGAGAGAGAAACAAATAAAATTTAAGAATTTAGAAGGATGATATACCAAGTAAAGATAGCGCTGTCCAAAGAGGACAGTACCACTTGTGAAACCTGTTTACAGAGAAACAACTGATTCTACTCCATTACAAAGCTTTCAGCTGTCATGGCAGCTTGTAGTACCAAAGGCATACAAGTCATTCACATAACCAACTTTGTAATCACCTTTCAAAGATGTTCAAGAAATGGAGGCTCATTACAGAATCGACTGCCTTGGTGCCTAATTACTTGAGTTTTTACATTCCACCTCATTGTATACAGCCTCCGATAAAGCTGCCAAGGACAGACACTCAAAATAAATCCAGTCGAACAAAATATCAAGAATGTGAGGTTGTGCTTCTATCCCCCACTGTGTGGGAAAAAAAAAAAGGGGGAGTATGAAGAGAAGGAAAGGAAGAGGTTGGAAAAGTGATGAAATGGAAGCGCAAAGAAAAAAAATAGGGATAAGAGAGAGGGGACATGTGTGACAGAAAGTAGATAGAAAGAAAAAAAAAGACATACTGAGTTGGTGGAAATGAAAAAGTGGCACTATAATGAGAGAGTGTGTGTATATATATATATATATATATATATATATAGTGTGTGTGTAGCCAAACAAACACAGGCACATAAGCAGCAATATCAGCTGTAGTTACAAATTGCCAAGTGGCCAACTGATGCGAACTGGAATTTAGAGAATTCCTGTGAACTAAGTGAAGGAAATAGTTTGGAAATATTTGGGAGGAAGCATCCCCAGAATTATTTGGTAATAGGCTTTTATGGATTGTACCTCTTCTTAAAAAAAAAAAAAAAAAAAAAAAAAAAGGGGAAAGAAAAGTCCCTGTTATTTCAACACTTTTACCAGGATATGTGAATGGTAACCAGTTCAAAAAAAAAAAAAAAAAAAAAAAAAAAAAAAATGGCTTTTATAGATTGTACCTCTTCTTGCAGTCAGTAAAGCGTAGGGAACTCGCGTAAGGATACATACTTAATTTCAATGATAATGGCTTGTAACACTAGTTAACTAACTTGTGCTCCATGACAGGGCATGGGAATAATTGGAATTTTTTTTTTTATACCCTGCAAGCTTTTTCTAAGATATTTACGGAAGTATCATATAGTTATGTGGTTTCTTTATGTACTTTAACAAAAACATCAACAAAGGAATTACATTCATTTTCAGACAATTTATGCCTCATTCCCTTATATACATTTATTTATAGCCTACTACAGGACCCCAGGTTTATGCTGAGCGTGTTCGATATACAAAGTAATACCCTGTTCGACTGTTAGGAAGATATGCACACTCATCCTTATCTGTGGTAGAGAAGTTCCTAGACATCTTGAGATTATAAAATATTTTAGGCAATAGCAAATCATATACTTTAATAAGTATGTCCCAAAATCATAACAAGGAATTAGACATACTATTTAGAAATATAATTAAAATCTAAGAATTAAGATTTTTTATGCCAAAATCTAAGAAAAATAATATCAAGTTCATGCTTTAATTGGTAATATTTTATTGTAAATCATAAGTCCATTTGATGACAGTGGAAATAGAAATAGTGGGAAGGTTTAGTTTTTATGAGGAAATTTTCCATCTCCTCCTCCTCCATTCCTGGACTTAGTAAAACCAACCCGTTTAATAACTTAATATTTTCTACCCTTTAAATTATTAAGCCCCCTCTGTTTATTTTATAGTAAGAAAATTTCCAGCCCCAACCTTTGTACAAAGCACCTAAAAGTAATATGTCAAATAGCAGTGCCTTTTGCTATAACTGTTATAAAACCAGAAGAGGGAGAAAGAGTGAAGACATTATTTACAGTATTCGGACTATTGTCCTCATCTTTGTCGCCATATTTATCACAATGTTTCGGCCCTTGTACACTCCAGCCTTTCGCTCACTGGGGTAGACTTCCACGTGCCATGTCTAATGGATGTCATCAGTTATCTTCTGCCTTAACCAGGTATTGAACTCACACTCTTTGGGTCCTGTCACTGGATCTAACCAACGCCTTTATGCACTGTGCCATGTGTCCTTGAGGACATCTTGGTATTATAAACCTAATTTCATCAGCAACCATTTTTACCAGAGCTCATATTGCAACTTTGTTATCATTGCTTTTCTCTGGCACTCCTTATTACTGGTTCCCATATTGTATTTATTTCTATGCTTGGTCGGCTCAGGAGACTTTTGTGGGAAATTAGCAGGAGATAACTGATAACTGACATCCATCAAACATGGCACGTGGAACTAGAGCAGTCTACCCCAGTGAGCGAAATAAAGGGTTCAGTTCGAAATTCCAACCACCTGAAAAGGGCTGGAGCGTACAACAGCCAAAACATTGTGATAAATATGGCGACAAAGATGAGGACAATAGTCTGAATAATGTAAATAATGTACATAATACCTCATCTAAGAAATAGACAGACTGAATAAAAAAAGAATATGTATTTTATCAAACTTTTGCATGTTTTTAGAAATAGTGATTTACTGATACAAGACCTACTAATTAACCTATAGCTTGGGGGAGAAGAGATGGATTTATACCATTCTCAAGGTTATTTGCACATAAGTGAATATAATGAACCTGAAGGGAATTGGAACTCAGTTCTACAATGTCCAATTCAGTGTTACCACTTACGGCAGCTGGTATTCCCAAGTGGTCACCCACCTAGGTACTGACTAGGCTCGTCATTACTTAACTTCAGGGATCGTATAAGAACCGGTGTTCTAACATGATATGGTCCCAAGTTATAAAAATATACTTAAAAGATTCACACATAACAAAAACTAAAAGATTTTACAAAATATCATTTTGATAGTATAAATGCAAGAGACTAGTAGACAAAATGAGTGATTGGTATTCTATTATTATTAAGCAATAAACTGACACCCCCAGGATTATTGCACACACAATTCTAAATTCAATCTCTGGCAAAAAAATATTTGCCAAAATAATGGCTGAATCAAGAGTGCTCAATCCAACTTTCATAAAATGGAAATATAAGGCAAGATATAAAATACCAGAGATGCTGACCTTTCAACCAGTTTCTGTGAAAAAAACCATGGTTGCAAGAAGGTTTTTATATATATATATATATATATATATATATATATATATATATATATATGTGTGTGTGTGTCTGCATGCATGAGAGAGAGATGAACTCTTCTACCATTTTCACTGTATGAGGGTCAAAAGTGTTTTACCATGATGCCCCTACTTCTGTTTGCAATTTTAATTATTTAAGGCCATCTTGAGATCCACACAACATTCTACATAGGACAAGGAACAGAACCATTTGGGAAGATTGCAGGAATGTTAGAGCAATGTTTAGTGTTATGCCTTGTAATATGGAGATGTTCAATGTGACATTTCAAAAGTTGCCATGCCTTTTATGTGCATCCTCTTTCACTTGAAGCCACTTCCTCAAAGAACAGAGGGATGTCAATATATATATATATATATATATATATATATATATATATATATATATATATATACACACACACACACGGTGTGATGGGTAAAACTGTTGACATTTTATGTTTTGTCAACTGCATAATAGAGTCAGTTGGGCACCATCTGTGAGAAAAGGAGCACCATAACACAATTCACCCTGCCAGAAATTTAGAAATGGCATGCTGTACTGCTTGGCATCCATGTCAGAAACCCCAATACAAACATTTCAGAGTGTTTGGAAGTTGATGTGAGGACAATGCAGAGGATTCAGGAAGAGTTTGAGGAGTCTAAGGGTGATTATGAAGGTGTTTAGAGTGATCACTAGTGATGGCAACATTATGCCTCCATTCATCATCCCACAATGCCTCAGACACAACACAGAGGCCTACATAAAGTCCCTTGAGGAAGTAGTGCTGCTCTGGGTCAAGAGGGTGGCTGTTTAAGCAGTAGAACTCTGCACCATGACATACAAGCAGGAGAACCCAGTCATGGCTGTGTGACAATTTCTGCAAGCATATCACCCCTTACATCTGGCCACCTAACTTTCCAGATTGCAACCCACTTGATTATTATGTTGGGCACAGTTAAGCAAAACTCCTTGTCATACCAAAGATGAACTGAAGGCAAGGATTATGGCAGCACTCACCAACTTAAACAAGGAGACTGGAATCTCCTGCAACTCTTCTGGACAAACATATCTGGAGGGGATGGTTGAAGCCAATGGTGATTTTATTAAATAAATTTACTGGTAAATAGATCTGTTAAAATGAGATGTCAGTGTTATTTTCATTTTTGCATCATTGATAATTTATCCATCGCACCCTCTGTGGGTGCATGTGTCTACATATAACAAAAATGTAAGAAGCAAGTAACAGTCAAGTTGACCATAGTGAGGATTATCAAGTCAATGCAAACAATCCTTTTCTTAGCTGCATAGTATGTGCTTTGCCAGAGCTGCATACAGTCTTGAATTTAGAGTTTTCTTTCACCTAGACCAGTTGCCAAGCAAGGCTATAGAACCCAACCTGTCCTATTTTACCCATAGCATGTAGAGAGGTAGAAGAGTTGGCTTCATACCTTTCCCAAGGGTATTAGCACAACTCCAATCCCACAGTCCAAGCTGCAATACATTACTCTAAGGAGGCACAGTAAGGACTACAAAATGCCAATATTTTTTTTTTTTTACAACAATAATTAGAATATACAAATTTTTTAAAATAAAAAAGTAGCCCAAAATACAAGAGACTAATAGACAGAAAATAGGTGATAGGTTTTCTATTGTCAAGTAATAAATGACCCCACCCCTGCAACTTCAAGATTATTGCACGTACACACAGACACACACATATATTCCATATAGGACAAGGAACAGAAAACCTCTGTGAAAGTGACAAGAATGTTTAGCTTGGGGAAAAGGATTCATACCATTCCCAAGGGTTTTAGTACATAACTGAATGTAATGAACTCAAATAGAATTTGAACTCTGCTCTTCAATTCCTCAATCGAAGACGCAATCCATTACCCTAAGGAGGAACAATAACAGTAAGGACTACAAAATATGCCATCATTTTGGACAACAATAATTACAACATACAATTTTTGAAATAAACTTGTGGTTAAAAAATATTTTTAACCAAAGTTGTTTTCAATAAAAATGCTGGTTAATAAACTTTATATCAATGTTGATATAATTGTAAAGCTTACTCAATTCTTAAACATTCAATAGTAAAAACTAAATTATATGCTGATAGTACTGAACAAAATTTGATAAAAGAATTTAAACAGTTTGTATAAATAAAATTGGTTAAATTTAATTAAATACAAGTATGCACAGTTGTAATCTGAGGTAGAAAGACTACATTTAATGTTTGCTGGATAGTCAGATATTTTTTTTTTTATTTTTTTTTTTAATTACCCACATGCCATAAATTTTCATTTATGTCAGGGTGAGTTAGGATAGCTAGTCTGAATGCCACTTTTAGAAAAGTTTTTTTTTTATTTTTAAATTACAGCAAGGTGTTAAAATATCTAAGCAGGCAACAAACTACCTGCAGTATTCAGCATCAAATTGCCTTTTCAATTTTAACCAAGAGGTTGGTTCCATCACATAACAAATTAAACCCGACTGAATATCACCCACCATGTTTAACAATAAAGATGGTATTCTTCCTCTTTATTTGTGTCAGATGATGTTTTTATCATCAGCTACAACCAAACTAAATTTTGTTTTATCTGAAAACAAGAGAATGGATTATATTTCCATCATTCCGGACAGATATAAATGCAAATTCCAACCAAAACTTAGTTCTTTAACAAAACCAATGCTGCTTCATTGGCCACATTTCTTTGGATATCGATAATCTGTAACTCCCTTCTTCAAAGTCTCTATTGATATTCTGGCATTGAGAAAACAGTTTTTGATAGCCAAGTTCAACCTAAATCTTGGCATGAATTGATAAGTCATTATGTATCACAATACTTAAACACAAGGCAGTTTTGGGGTAGACAAAATGCGGAAGGGTTTTTTTTTTAAAAAACCAAAAGCTACAAATTTTTTTAAACCCTAAGTTTCCACATTAAGTTCACTGGGTATCCTTTAATCAAATTTCTGATTTAAATTACTTTTTAATTAATAATTATAATTAAAACCGGCACATTGAAACAGGAAATAACAACAAAAGGTTACAACATTACCATAAAGTAGTAATATCAAAGAGTAAATAAACTAAAAGAAAAACAGCTTAACCAGTTTCTTGTTATGAAAAATGGTCAGTGACTAAAATTGGCAACATCAGAGACAAGATGTTTTATAATACATAAACATCAAACACTAAATTTACTTAAATCAAACAGCCACTCCTACTTTGAGGGGGATGGCTGGAAAGATTTAATATAAATTGAATGTAAAACCATAAAGTGAAAATGAGTGAGCCTCCCTCAGTATCAAAGAACAGATTAATATAGCACCTGGCACATTGATAGTTGTTTAATAAGTCACAGAACTAGATGAATCAAATTTTTAATTATTTCTTTTCCTCAAATAATAAATTATTCAGGTGTGAAATTTGACAAATCCAAAATGTCCAAATATGTTTCTTCAAAAGCAAACAGCGCAGTGTAATAAGTGCTACTAATAACAGAACAAATGGCAAATGCTCCTAATTCTAAGTGTAGGCTTGAAAAGCACTCAGCCCAACTAAGAGGAGGAGATGATCTTTGGGGAGATTTGGAACCATGAATTTTCCAGCACTCCCTTATAACAAGAGAACATTTTTGCCTAACCCAATAAAGATACAAGAATGCAAGTAAGATTTAATCAAATAGAGAAACGAGATCTCCATGCAAGAGAGAAAAAAAAAAAAAGTAAGTTTATGGATTTAAATCCTTTTGATACCATATTATACTAAGCAGTAAACCAAAAGAAATTACTTACACTTGTAAATATTCATTAGTCATATCCATAGTTTCCTGTTTATAACACAGGGGAGATTTTGTCCATAAAAATAAGTTTATTTACAACTTAAAAAAAAAAAAAAATCAACTTCAAGTACATACATGACTGCCTAAAAATTAATAATATGACATGAAAAGAAAAATTATATAGGAAGAAAAAAAGGGATGGGAAAAAAAAGAAAAGAAAAAAAGTAATGAATAAAAAAAAAAAAAAAAAAAAAAAAAAATAAGAATCTTAAAAGCCATTCAAAGTCAGGATTCATAAAAACAGTGAAGTGTATCATATGTGCTTTGAGAACAGAAAAGTTACATAATTGGTAGTCACTGATGTGTAAAGAGATCACAGTGGTAAAAGTAAAGCCTTTGCTTTAAAAGGCTTGCATACACATATCTTTATACTGCAATGCATATGCAAACAGAGGTTCCTTAATGTTTCCATAACAAAACAGGAACTCAAATTTTTCCTGCCTAATGTTTGAATATCTTATGACTGATGCATTTGTTTGGACGCTTTAAAATCCCAAATTCAGAATGTATATATAGCAAAGCCTTTTGTTCCAAATATACACAATTTCATTGAAAATAAAATAAAAAAAAATAAAATAAAATAAAAATAAAAAAATAAATTTAACATGGGTCAGGAGGAACAATAGTAATGTGTGTATCAGGGGATGCAAAATTAAAGACTGGGATGCAAAATTAAAAGACTGCAATTTCCAAAAAATCAGTGGTGTGTGTGTGTGTGTGTGTGTGTGTGTGTGTGTGTGTGTGTGTGTGTGTGTGTATATACTTTACATTGCAGAAAAAAATAAAGAGTAGCACACCTGAAATGGG